GCCAAAAGCCCTACAATGAATAGTAGGGACGAATGCCCGGAGATCATACGCGACCTGATCTCGTACGTTCGCATCGATTTCTGATGTAGGATGGTGCAGTCGTCAACCACATGCGACTATAATCAGCTGTGGAAGTCACGAAAAAGCGGTGGGTTTTTCGAGAAGTTGTTGATCGTGTAATTACCAAAGAGTCTTTCGTCTTTGTGTAAGTTTTATTGAAGCGTTTGGCCTAGTAGATTGTATATCAGTATACCCTTCCAGGCTCTGAAGAAGGCGATTCTGCCGAAACGTCAGCTAGCGTTGTATTGTATTGTGTTTTTTATGGAAGTAAATGTATGCTGTTTAAAAACCTCGCGATTGCTGAACAAGAAAACGACACATTCATATTCCAATGCCGAGGTTAAGAGAAAGTCGATCCTGGGAACTATTACAAGTGTATAATACTCTCGAGAGTGTAAAATTTAATTGGATTTCCAGAGATAAAGATGGAATCCATTAGGAAGAAAAGGAAAATTAGGGAAGCATAGAGCATAGTAGATAGAAAACTAGCTGAAAGACAAGCAAAACGAAGGATCTGCATGGTGTGGTGGTGAACGCGTTATCCTCCGGAAAGGGTAACAGCGCGCTCGTTCCCCACGGCAGACACCTGCGCTCCGAGGTTTTGCAAATGTCTCAGTATCATCATGGTTGTATTTCACATATCACCGCGTTGTGAAAAACTGTAGTAGGCAGCAAATATAATCTTAACATAGAGAATAGTTTTCTGCAAGAGCTTATAAACAACTCTGCGTGAAATGATGTAAAATGAGTGCTTTCAGATTCGAAGTATTGGCATTTCGAATTTCAACCACAAGCAAATCGAGCGACTAATTGCCAACAGCGCTATAAAGCCGGCCGTTCTACAGGTGCTGAAGTCTTTGGGTTATAATCGGTTATTTTATCGGCTGAATTAGGCTATCGATCGGTTGTGGTGAATGGTAAGGGATGAAGCGTTCGGCGTTAATCAATCTCCGACAAATACGCAATAAGTCCGTCCTTATCGAGTATCGTCTTGGTGAATGAATGCCTATCTAGTCAACGCCCACAAAAGCTTGGGATTTTTCCAGGTCATTCAGAAACCGACTTTCCTTTAACCTCGACATTACTAATCAATATGCATCCTTTGATAAACTTTTTTTTACCAACTTCGCGTTAGCTTCCCGGTCAAAAAGTACACATTTTCAAGCCGAAGTTTTTATTTAACCACTGAAGTTTAGCACCGATTTTCCGAACACACAGGGATGGGAAGGCACGTCATTTTGGGACGGGATCGATCTAGAGACCGCTCCAATACGTTCCAGGACACCTCCAACGGCTGTGCTACACGCATCTGATCTTCGTGAATATTGAAGCAATAACTGAGAAAGTCTTGGAATATAAGATATATTCGTTACTTGTTTAGAGAAGGGGTTCTTTGCGAAACACGAAAGTCATGTGAGATCTAGCACAGTGTTTGGTTTGATGGTGGTTTAGTGGATTGGCACAGCTTTCCTTCTCCGGAGTAATCACCAATTGTGCTAGGTCTTCCCATCGTTGCCAATTAGTGATTATGTGTTTCCAAAGGTTATAGCGATTAATGGTATTGGTTTGCCACTAGCTGAGTTCCATAATGGAACTTTTTGATTTCTTCCCTGCTTGAGGATTCCTGCCGTGCGTCGCAGTTCAACAGCTAAGAAACTCCTCACCCTCAATGAAGAAGCAACGCACTAGAAGGTAGAGCATGAGCAGATAAGACTTCAGTTGAGAAATATTATTTGGAAACCGATTTGCCACCAACAAGAAGCCCTTTCTTATTTCTCTTTTTTTCTTGGAAACGTTTTGTATTTTCCTCATCTCTTGTCTGCACGCCGCAGCACCAATAGTATAGCAGTTGGGGTGGGAAGTTGACCCCAGTAGTATAGCAGCAGGAGTGAAAGACAGATAAGTCTTTATTGAAACAGTAGGAAGTGCTCCTTCATTACGAAAATAGCTATATTATACGAATGTGTCGTTTTCTTGTTCAGCAATCGCGAGGTTTTTTAAACAGCGTACATTTTCTTCCATAGAAAAACACAATACAATACAACGCTAGCTGACGTTTCGGCAGTATCGCCTTCTTCAGAGTCTGGAAGGGTATGCTGATATACAATCTACTAGGCCAAACGCTTCAATAACACTTACAAAAAGACGAAGAACTCTATGGTAATTACATGATCAACAGCTTCTTGAACAACTCACTGCTTTCTACGTGACTTCCAATGAGGAAGCTTAGAACAGCTGATTATAGTCGCATGTGGTTGATGACTGCACCATCCTACATCAAAAATCGATGCGAACGTACTGGATCAGATCGCGTATGACCTCCGGGCATTCATCCCTGTTATTCATTGTGGGGTTTTTGGCATTTATCCAAAAAGCCTCAAGAAGTTTTCGCGCTGGTGTTTTGGACTCCTGTGCAAGGATATTGACTTTTACTTCAAAATCGTCTCCGCTATGCTTTTGTATCCTATGCGTGCCTAGTGGGGTGCTTCGTCTTAGTTTTCGTTTGCCATCTAGGTGTTCTTTTATACGGATACACAAAGGTCTGCCCGTTTCGCCAATATATTCATCTCCGCAATTGTTACACGAGATCAGGTATATCGAACCTGAACTCATGCAATCACCGTCCCTGCCGTAAGGGCAAATTACGCAAATTGTTGTTTCACACAGACGGTCATACAGGCGGTTGCGAACTAATTGACGGCGTAGGGTAGCCGGTGGTGTTTCAACTATCGCTACCGATTCCTCTAGACTTGCCCTTCTTAAGCATCGTTTTATAGCTGCGCTTACTTCATCGCTTATAAAAGGCAACATAAACGGGATTTTGTTTTGGCCAAGTGTTTCGCATGGGCGCGTCGTTCTCCTCGTAACTTATCTCGTGGGGTTACTATTTCATAGCCATTGGAGATGGACCTATCAAGACCATCCCTTGGATAAATGCCAAGAACGCTACAATGAATAGCAGGGACGAATGCCTGGAGGTCATACGCGACCCGATCCCGTATGTTCGCATCGATTTTTGATGTGGGATGGTGCAGTCGTCAACCATATACGACTATAATCAGCTGTTCTAAACTTCCTCGTTGGAAGTCACGAAAAAGCGATGGGTTTTTCGAGAAGTTGTTGATCGTGTAATAACCAAAGAGTCTTTCGTCTTTTTGTAGGTGTTATTGAAGCGTTTGGCCTAGTAGATTGTATATCAGCATACCCTTCCAGCGGCTGAAGAAGGCGATACTGCCGAAACGTCAGCTAGTGTTGTATTGTATTGTGTTTTTCTATGGAAGTAAATGTATGCTGTTTAAAAACCTCGCAATTGCTGAACAAGAAAGCGACACATTCATATTCCAATGCCGAGGTTAATAGAAAGTCGATCCTGGAAGCTATATTATATTCAAAACAATATTTTGGTTATCCTTTAACAAAATGAACATTTTCGATCGAGTTACTTTTTTCCATCCATATTTGGCCGATCGGCCCAATTTTGTGGCAGGATCTCTTGAGAGAGCACTTTGGTATTATTCAGATCGAGATGCATCCATACCTACAACAGAAGAAGTTGAGAGCATTTTGCAGAGAAAGAGGAATTGCAGTAACCGCCTACAGGTAAATAAACATATTACACTTGTAGTCCTCATCTATTTCAATCTTCCTCTCAATTCCACTAAGGAATTTATGTAATATTTGTGACCTATAGTCCACAAGGTTTGTTTTCACGGCAGGCTTACGGTACATAATGTTATGGCAGATTTGTTATCTCTCAACATTCTTATTTACTTGGGAATGCTTGTGTTCACGACAAATCTCGCGTAAACGTGGAAAACTCCTTTCCGATATGTTGGTTTTCTCGTGGGACAAATTTTTTTCTTCTTTCTGGAAGCGGACCAACCGTGCCAGGAGTTCATGGATAGCTTTTAGTAATCCGCCAACACTTACTGATCGATGGTGGGGTTGTGTGCTTGCGATTTTTTCCAGAACAATGGGAAATTCTCTTATACGTTTACTCTATGGTGTGATTTCTACGGAAATATCAATTTGCCAGTAATAATAAAAGTAGCAATAATAGCAGTAAAGATAATAATAGTAGTAATAATATCCAAAGTAAGAGCTAGTGACAGGTTTGCTTCGAAAGAAGAAACATCCACATTTATGGCATAATTTTTAATTTATGGCATGGTATTATGTAAAGGAAAACGTATAGCGCAGTGGTCGGAGGGGCCTTACAACACCGATCCCGACTGTGTTGTAGACCCGATCCCAGGCTTACCAAGCCTACCATTCCTCCGGCGTAGGCAAATTGGTGCAACGCTTGTCTTGGAGGAAAGAGACGCTGGCTTGTTGTTTCAGTAAGTTACGTAAAGGCCATATATGCATTTAATCACCTCCAGTGAAGCTTAATAAAGTCGAATGCATGGTGCATCTCTCAGGGATTGATCAACGCCCAGAGCTTTATCCTTTATATCCTTTTATGGTATTATTGGGCTCGTGCGACGCAGTGGCTGGAGGCGCCCTGCAACACGCAAGTGGAATCGATCCTCGTGCCCGTGGCTCACCAAGGTTTCCATTCCTGCGGAGTCGGCAAATTGGTAGCAGATATATCTAGGAGGATAGTGCCACCGGCTAGATATATCGATAGGCCAACGCGAGTCACTGTAAAGGCCAGATATGCACTCAATCACTTCCAAACGATGCTTATCGAAGTGGGATGCATGACGCATCCCTCAGCGATTGATCAACGCCGAGTTGAAAAATACGTTCTTTATGGAAAATGAGAAAATTATGAGTCCGTACGCAATTATTTTTAATTAGGCATGTTTAGCCCTCTTGGATGTCCTGGCTCAACGTTTTTCCGTAAACCCGGTGATCCTAACATTCTAACTGAACCCAGTGTGAAGAAAATTGCTGCCGCACATGGAAAGGTACGTTTTGAGTGCACTAAAACTTCCCTACAGCTTAGTAATTAGAAAATTTTGAAAATGTCTGCAGTAGGAGGAATGGTAGCGAAAGAAATTAGACACACTTAGTAGGAGTTCTCATTACTGTAGTTCAGCGCTAAGAGTTGAGAAGAGGACGTTTCTCATTGTTTTTATTTTTGCGGCAGAATTTGTCACGAACAACTATTGGATTTCCTCAACTATTAAGATGTAGGGTCATTAACTCCCACAGATGATTTTCAGACCCCAGCTCAAGTTGTTCTTCGTTGGGCCGTGCAGCAGAACGTAATAGTCATTCCGAAATCAACTTCAGAAAGTGAGAAACGTCATTTGTTTTCCAGTTTCACAGACTTGTTTTGAAAAAGAAATCTCAGAACTGCTTTGCTCTGTTGAAACGAACATTCTTAATGATACGGTCGTACATGAATCACTCCATGACGGAGTTGATTGGTCGTCGGGAACATGTTGATATGCTGTTAACTGCGAGAAAAGGATGTTCTATCATCTAAGGTTTGTAAGAAAAAACGACACGGTGAGAAGCATTGCTGCTTTAGCGGACGCAGGAAAGAAATTGCCCAAAATTCCCAGGACTGATTTTCTTTTAATGTTATTACTCCATTCATTAATCCATGATGGCTGTCCTTTCGGCGATTTCGCCTTCTTTAGATCCTTGAAAGGTCAAGCTGGCATGTCTATCTAATTCTACTCAACCAAATACTGTCATAACCTCAGCAGATAAAACTTGTTTTGCAAACTTTTAATTCGCGTAATAAACAACTTTTTTGAAAACTGACAGTTTTACTATTTGTAAGGTTTCCAGCTATTTGGAGGAGACCAACCGCACAGCGTCTTACATGGGGCCAGGAACGGACCTGGCTGAGGTCAAAAATTTAGCTTGGCAAATGCTACGAGGTCACTCGTGATCACATGTTGGTCCTCCTGGCCGCTTTTTGCTGGTTTTGTGGAATTTGTGCAAGCACTTCAAAAGTTTTACGCGCTGGCGATTTCATTTTTTTTTTTGAGCTCAGACAGAATGATTTCTCACTCGCGTAAGATTCTGTCCGGCTAACCACCTCCAAATAACCGGAAACCTTACAAAGAACAAAACGGTACGATGAAACATTTATCCATCAGATTTTATCTCCTGAGATGTTGGAAGTGTTTGCTGCGTTGATGCTTGACAATCTGATCTTTCCAGGCTCTCAAGAAAGCGAAATCCTCGAAACATCAGCTACTGTGAATGAATCAATGCTGTAATAACAACTTCGTGCTTGTTCACAAGAAGCCAGTGAAACTAAACTATAACTATTCACCACACTCAACTCCTTTTTATGCATTTTTACTTAACTACTTGGGTACTTGGATGGCTTACCCTCACTGACGTGCGGGCGCCAACATGATTTCCGCTTTTTCGGAGTTGTGCTGGTTTAGCCATTGTGCTTTCCTGGAGTCCCGATGTCAGCCTGACCAAATTCTGCCACAGGTAATCACCACAACAGGGAGTCGAGGCCCTTTTGGATCAGTGGGAAATTTGCCACCATGCTACTAACTGGATATCAGGACGGTGATGGATTCTGGTACTGGTTTGCCCTTAGCTGGCCTTTGTGATGCAAACACTCCTTCTCAGCTTGGCAAACTCTACTGGTGAGACTAATCCGCCCCCTGTACATCGCAGCACGACACCGAGGAACACCTCTTAGGCATTTGTAGAAGAGACAAATCTTTCTCATTTCTGATATCTTATTATCTTACTTCATGGTTTTAGTACTGCATTCAAAAACAGTGTTTTGAGATAATTCAAAATTCCCACGTCCGACTTTCTATCAACCTCGGCATTGATTGAACAATTCTTTCCACTTCTTCTCAGCAAACACGAGGTGCTATTCCACTTCCCCACTCACGTTAAAGCTGACGTTTCGACGGATTTCGCCTTCCTCAGAGCCGCTTTCTATGAGTCTTCCACTGACTATGCCGTGTGAAGACCAACCGCACAGAATTCACATGGAAGCGTAGTGCAAAATTGCGTAATTCAAAAATGTTTAGCATACATTTGAATTTTTGAGATTTGTCGAGCTTAAAAAATGCGAAAAGCCACCTCTGAAGTCCGTTGTTGGTTTTTTCATTAACAGTTAGTATCTTGTGACTTCGAATTATGAAAAAGAATTAACAGATTGTGCTTTTTTGGAGCTTTTCAAGTTTTTAATTTGAAAGTTGCCTTAAATCAGAGTGAATATCATTAGTAAAGCAGCTCAGCATCAATGGTTTACGTTTCTCAGCAGATTTCTAACATGTTTTTCTAACGAGTTGAGGTTTGTATGAGCATAAGGTATTAAACGTTCTAGTGCGAATCAAAGAGAACGCTGCTCTGTTCGACTTCAAGCTGACCGAAGCCCAGATGAAGGAGATCGACGGGCTCGACCGCGGATGGCGGTTCGTCGACTTCAGTCCTGGCGAATCTGACCATCCTCATTTACCGTTTTTAGAGGAATACTAAATTGTCATAGTGCTATTCCAATTTGTTAACAATTCTTTCCATTTATTCGAATACCTCTTGTACCGAATACCGAATGCCTTGCATCGCTTAAATACATCGTGCGCTTAACTATAACGTAATGAACACTTAAGAACGAAGAATAGATCAGAGTGGAAATAGCAGATAATGAAGCTGAAATCGATTATTGTTCATGAGCCACACTATATCGTTATCACAAGAGTCTAAATGTCCAAATGAAGTACAGCTCAGCGAATTTGATATTGCTCCATTAACCATCACTTGCAGATGACATCGTAAATGTGCATAGAGCCTGAACTCATATTTTCCTCTACAGTGACTTTCTGTGGAGCATATATCAAAATTGCAACCCAGCAAGTACGAAAGCCGTATTTGGATGCACGTGTAGGCGAACCAGTGAATATTTGCGTATTCCAGCACAGTTCTAACCATTGCGTTATGCGCAAATGTCTCAATACCAGGGACCAGTACATATTTGTTCCTCGTTCAGTAAATATTAATGTATATCGTACTATAATAGCGCTAACTTGCTCGACCTTTCAATGATGAAATAACGGCTGCACAGTAGATCCAAAGTTAGTGGCATTGTTTGTTCAAGCAAACCAATAATCTATTGAGCTCATCGGTGTTCGTGCGAAATGTTGTTTGCAGTAGCTGTCATACTGTGCAAATTCTGGATGCAAGGCATATAACCCGTGCCCAATATATAAACGTAAATGGCTTTTCTCTGGTGATGAACTAGAAACCTCCTCCGTGCGGTTCCCCAATGATTTCTGAGAAAACCAGCTTCATTCCCCACTCTTAATATCAATGAGGAAGGATGACGATGAATACGAATCTCCAAGCCTCTCAAGAGCCCACCCAAAAGCTTTCGGCAGGCGTTATCGATGACTGTTTTAAGACAGCTGAAGGGATGAAAGAAATACTTAAATTGACATGACATCTGATGGTGATATACAAATTTACGTACACTCCACCACAGGATGACGAGCTTAAACACCGCAATTCCCCTTCTAATTGTCAACGAATGATATGAAGACAAAAGGGTCAGAGCCATGTTGGTTTCAAGGTGGGTGCTTTTTTAAAGAGTTCCACGAAATGAACTCCTTAAAGAGGTAATTACTTGATTCGACCAGGAATGATTACTTGAAAAATTTTTTCATGGAACCCTTTCATGTTTCCCACTTGCCATTTACAACGATATGCGTCGTCGAATTAGAAAGCAGCCTTGAGTTTCCTCTGTTAAGGCTGTTCATGTTCGCATGAATCAGACCTTTCAGTGTTGATATTTTCCTTCAATATTTTCTTACTATATACAGTTGCTTTCATAAGCGCACTGTCGAGTTCTTCTTTCGGGCAGTGCTTCACTCCATAAAATTCTACTGAAACGACGACGAGGACGACGTCCACACAGTAGATGAGAAGACAAGTCTTGTAGAGAATAAGCATTTTTGTCAATTTCTGGATCCACGAGTATCGTGCAACCAAAATTTTTCGTTCCGTTCCGTTTCTTAAATCATTTGTCTTCAAACAAAAAAAAACCCGAGCCGTTTCGCTTACCGCTTTTTTGCAAATACTCTACAATCACAATATTAATTTTTGATTTACTACCTATTGCTGGCGCGCGTGTGCCGCAGCGGTCGGAGGCGCTCTGCATTACACACGTGGAATAGATCACCGCACCCATGGCTCACCAAGTCATCCTCTCCGAGGTCGGCAAATTGGTACCAGACTTGTCCGGAAGGATAGCAGCACTGGCTCGATACATCGACAGGCCACCGCGGGTCATTGTAAAGGTTAGATATGAATTTAATCACCTTCAACGGTACTTAATGAAGTCGAATGCATGGCGCATCCCTCAGGGATTGATCAACACCGAGAACTTTACCCTTTATCCTTTATATCTATTGTTATTTTTCACGATAGAGTGTGATGTGAAATGCAACAAAGATGACGCTGAGATATTTGCAAAACTTTGACTCCAGGCAACATCGAACCGCGGTTACTTTTTTCCCATCGGTGCATAACACTATTTTCAAGACCACTTTTTCTTAAGCATTTTTTAATGGCGTAACTTATTTCTTGATATGAAATTAAAGAAAGTTACGTAACGATTATTGACATCCCACCCAATACCCTACGCCGTCTCGTCAGTTAGATCGAAACCGTCTCTATGATCGCTGTGCAGCTCAGAAAACTGTATGATCTGTCCTAACGGGAGAGACGGGATTACATGAGTTTAGGAATATAAAATATATAAAAAAGTAAAAATATACTTGATCTCATGTAACGAATGCGGCGATGAATATATTGGGGAAACAGATAGACCAGTTTGTGTCCGCATAAAAGAACATCTAGATGGGAAAGCTAAAATCCGTCTAAACACTCCTCTAGACACGCATAGGGCACAAAAGCACAACGGCGATGATTTTGAAGTGACTGTGCGGATCCTAGCGCAGGAATCAAAAACATCAACGCGCAAAACTCTTGAGGCGTTTTGGATAAGTTTCGAAAATCCAATGATGAACCGGAAAGACGAATACCTCACTGTCACAGGTGGCCTAACACCCTATTTCAAAATAATATTTTGACCCCTGGGTATGCCTTGCTCGCGACCCCACGTGAACTACGTGTGGGCCAGTCCCACACGTAACATCACGGTGAGTGGGCTTTCTGTTCAATATGGTGTCTATTTGAAAACTTGATCTTCATTAATACTTTACCCTTTCTTTTCCACCGAATAATAAAAAAATTCTAGTATAAAGTACGTCCTGGTTCTGAGGAAGACGAAGTCACCGAAACGTCGGCCATCGACCAACAACATCAAAAACAACGACAACGACAACGAAGACCTTTACCAACCTCGCGTCAGCTTAAGAAGATCAGTTTATAAGGTCATATAAGTAAACATAACAACTCTTTTCGATTTCTGTTTTTTAAGACGAATGCACAGGATGGAACTTTTTCAAGGAAAAAGTAAAGCATGCAGCGACATCTTATTTGATGAAGAACTCCTTCACTTGAAAGTATTAGACTGGCCACTGTGGCTAAAGTTCTGTTCTCGAGCTAGGCAACATTGCACGTTAACCCGACTCTATCAGTCGTCAGATTTTTCTAGAGTTTTAGCTTTATATCTATTCTACATAATTTTTGGAAAACTCTAAATTCTTCTTTAACGACTGCCTATTTTCTGAGTAGAATGGTAGCGGTTTTTGTCCAAAGCACCGATAATCGTCCTATGACTTCTGATTGAGATTATTAAATGTATTCTTATAAATATATACATTTATACAGATAGTTGAAGAGGCTCGTGTGGCTCAGTGGTCGGAGGGTCCTGCAATACACACGGGAGCGATCCCAGCGGCCTATACCACCAAGCCCCTCCTAACGCCGGTGTCTGCGAATTGGTAATAGGCTTGTCTCGGAGAAATGCAGCGTTGGTTGGATACATCGGCAGGCTACCGCGACTCATTGTAACATCCAGACATGCACTGACTCACTACCAAACGATGCACAATGATGTCGAATGCATGGCGCATTCCTCAAGGATAGGTTACTTTGGATCCATGCAATGTAGTGACTACCACCAGAGTAGCTCTGGGCAGTATTATGAACACATATTTACAAAGTAATGCTAATATCAGCCTCTCCGAAACAAAAACGGTAAACTGCTAAGCTTTTTCAAGATACAAAGAGAGCTCTATTTTGTGCTGTACTTTTCCATGTAATAAAAAATAAAGAAAAGGGAACAGCAACAAATTTTTCCACTACTTCATTAGAAGTGTTATTCGTAAATAGGTAAAAGTTGTCTCGGAGGCGTTCGTTAGCATTCCGTTATGAGTTTCGTTCTGGTGGATCTGTAGTGATTTCGAGCCGTGTTAGGCCAGTTTCTGATAATTGAACTAACGCAACTGGTCGTTGTGTTAGTTCACCACATACATGGAACACACATCTCACGACCCTGCGTAGGATAGCATGCAACCTTTATGAGTTTCAAGATCGACTCCGCTATCAGGCCAAGCAAGAAACATCAAATAGAGATAAAAATCAAGAGGCGGCGACATTACCACCATCTCCTTTCCCAAAAACGTTCTTTAGACAGCAGGACCCTAACGATGGAGTTGACACAAAATTCCGCGTGTTTTCGGATGGCGTTCTCAAGACCCTTGATTACTAACGCGATAGAAAGTTTATCTCTAACCTTACAGCCGCACAAAAATGTGGCATGCGGGAAATTAGAGAATTAATAAACTCGAAAACAATAAGATTGTCTGTTAGTGATAAAGGGGAGAGTTCGTAGTTATCCCTCGCCAGCTGGATGATGAGATAACAGAGGAACATCTTAGTGATGCTACTCTCTATCGCCCATCCTCTGAGAAGGAATATAAAAGTAAATACTGAAAGCTAAACAATCAATGGGTCAGCGTGGCAAAGGCTGCGGGTTTAAAATCATCGGTTATTTCGCACTTTAAAATCGATAGACCAACATGTCCCGTCCTATACTTACTTATTAAAACACATAAGTTAGTATCACCTGGTGATCATGCGTCAACCAATCCGTCATCATTTAAGGTTAGACCAATCATCAGCTGTGTAGACGGGCCAACGGATAGAATAACNTTTCCCAAAAACGTTCTTTAGACAGCAGGACCCTAACGATGGAGTTGAAATAAAATTCCGCGCGTTTTCGGACGGCGTTCTCAAGACCCTTGATCACTACCGCGATAGAAAGTTTATCTCTAACCTTACAGCCACACAAAAATGTGGCAAGCGGGAAATTAGAGAATTATTAAACTCGAAAACAATAAGATTGTCTGTTAGTGATAAGGGGGGAGAGTTCGTAGTTATCCCTCGCCAGCTGGATGTTGAGATAAGAGAGGAACATCTTAGTGATGCTACTCTCTATCGCCCATCCTCTGAAAAGGAATACAAAAGTCAATACCGAAAACTAAACAATCAATGGGTCAGCGTGGCAAAGGCTG